TACTGAAAATGTATTACAGGTTAGAATATTCCTTATCCAAAATTCTTGGGACTGGAAGTGTTTTTGATTTCAGAATTTTTTTTTTTTTTTTTTTTGATTCTGGAACATTTGCATTATGCCACTTTGGCATCCCTAATCTGAAAATCTGAAATCTGAAATGTTCCAACGAGCATTTGAGAATCATGTTGGTGCTCAAATGGTTTTAGATTTGGAGTATTTCAGATTTCAGATTTTTGAATTAGGGGTATTCAAACTATTATATATGTGATAAATACAATATAAGCACTTTATAAATATCCTATTAGATAGGTTGTATTCATAAACATACTCTATTTACTCTGGGGAAGCTTTCTGGAATTGGTACTATTCATAATCATTATAATATAGTCCCTATGGAGATGCTTGTATTACCAGGATTCCTGCCTAAGAATGTAAAGTCTGTGTCATGCACAAAGGTATTTGATTTCAGGAGTTGGGAAGATGGGATGAAATCCATTCAAGGACCTCAGTGAAAGGGGATTTTTCCTAATTCATAAGTCATTACTATTTGCTCAGAAGGGCAAGTGGCTTTTTTCTAATTTGGGAAAAATGGGATACATTAAGCTAATCAGCTGCTATTTCTTATCTACGATCAGCACAGAACTGACACACAACTAAAAGTATATGGGCTGATGACTATCCATCCTTTCTACATTCTTTAAAACTGGTTCTAACACGATTGATTAGCAGATATATTAATTTATGCTATCCTCTTCAGTTTATTGCCAAGACATCTCTGTTGGAGAATTAAAGTGCTACCCACCCATCTAAATGTATTTAAAAAATCAAGTTTATTAAGAAACCAGAAAGACATTTTAAGTAGCTACTGAAAGTAATAAAGATTGATGTGTCATAAAAAAGTGGTTTTAACAGATTTTGCTACACATAGAGCATTACCTTCCCATCCCCTTAAAAGAGGCTTACAACTAGCACATTAACACCTAGCCAGTACTTAACCACCAAAGGAAGTCCCTGTTTGTTTACATTTGGGAAAAGAAACTATTTTCTAGGAATGAAAACACATCAATAAAAAAATAGAATATTAATGGCAGAAAGAGATAACTGATGGAGGAAACACAAAAGAGCTTCTTAACTGCCCTTTGAAGCTAAGAAAGAGCAGTTTGGGGTTGGCTAATCAGATATAATCAATCAGCATTATATACAAGCAACGCAGAAGTGAGATATACCTGTAATCACATTTTGCAAATGAAGTCTTTGCTTAACTGTCACTTTTATGGTTAATGCCTTTCCTGGCCACCATATTAAAATTATCACCCCTTGCCCCACCATTTTACCCCTGAGTATCTGCTTTATTTTTCTCCATACCACATACTATATATTTTGCTTATTTATTTGTTTATCATCTGTTTATCCTACACCCAGCATGAAGGCTTGATGAGAGCAAGAATTTTGCTATATCCCAAGTACCTTGCAAAGTGCTTGGCATGTGGTAGAGGCTCAATAAAAAAATGAATGAATCTTAGCAGGAGGAACCTAAGATTCAAAGAGAATGAGTAGCTTGAATAAGTCACACAGACAAGAAATGATAGAGCTGAGATTCTAACACAGGGTCTCAGATTACAAAAAATAAGCTCTTTATACACTTAACACACTGCTTTTAACAGATATTCCTAGTTTATCAACATATTTCTCACCTATCTGCAATCTCTATAACAGGATATCACACATTCTAGGTACTTAATAAGTATTTATTGTATAAATGAAACCAATTTTCTTTTACCTGCCACAGAAGCAAAAGAAATGCTTTTAGTAGCATTCACCTAAGGAGGAAAATGACAAAGTTTATGTCAAGAAAAGCACTATATATTAATAATGTACCTAAAGTGGAAAAGCATTGAGAGAGAATCATAGCTTTTGGTTTTAGGTTCTAGTTCTGGCTCTGCGACAAATTCTGTGGCTATGGACAACTAACTTAAATCTTTTGGGGCTTTGATGTCTTCATATTGCAAATGAAGGGAAGAAGCTGGACAGTTATATATCACCAAAATTCCCTATCATGTTTAAAATTCTTATGTATCCACGATTCCTCTTTCTGGAAAAAGC